CTATCTATCTATCTATCTATCTATCTATCTATCTATCTATCTATCTATCTATCTATCTATCTATCTATCTATCTATCTATCTATCTATCTATCTATCTATCTATCATGAAGTTGGAAATACCCAGCGAAAATATAAGGAAATAAATGATTCCCCCAAAAACTATATAATGCAGTAAATAAATATATCCAATAAACCAAGAAATCGGAAAATTAACAATTACAAAAAAATATAATATAATTCTTTTGCAACAAACACCTCAGACACGTCTCAAAACAGTGGGTAAAATCCTCTGATATATTTCGAAATGATCCTCAGGAAAACAAACAAACAAACATCGAACTCATAGCACTCCAACGTGATGGTTTCATTTTAAGATGACTCATGATAAATTTGTATGTAAGAATATATACAAAACACATTTTAAATTACTTTGGTTACATTGTCTATTACTTTTCCCTAAAATTACAACGTTCACTTTAAGTTGAGCTCATTTTACATTTACTTTCACTCGTAACTAGAAAACCACTCTGATCATACCCCCTTCCTCAATATCCCGTGAAGGGATAAAGAACGGTCATCAATGGCAGAGAGCGTATGATAGAAATCATTACTCTCTGCCCGCTTCGCGCTCAGAAGGGAGTATCACGACTCATCATCGTGGTTAGCGAGACCAATCACTTTAGAAACACATTTCTCAAGTTAGGAACTATAGAAATGATCCCTGAAAGTATAGTCTTAACTTATTCAGAGATCGAGAGGGGATATCTATTACAGGACTACCATTTTCAGTAACGGTGTAATTGTTTTCCTGAAATTTAATCAACTTCAAGATAGAAAGTATAAACAACTTCCAAAACATCGATTATACTTTGTAAAGTTCTGACGGATTCTAAACTAATTTATAAAATATTATAGGGTCTATTTGTAGGATCCAGAATGCTTTGCGGGAACCGTATCGTGTATATAGAGTAGTTTTAGTATTCACTTATTTAAAAATTCCAACGAGCCGCTATATATATCTCGACACGCCTTTTGCTTACATAAATTGAAGAACCGGTTATTTAGGATAGGGATAGAAGTGTTTCTTTTTTCCTGAGTTATTTGTATGTAAAATAGATCCAAATTTAATGATTTCCTGATTCTAAAACCAGAAGACATACTTTTGATTACATTGTCTCTTACTTATCCCTGAAATTACAACGTTCAAACTGACAAATACTATTTAAACACACCGAGTTTTGCTAGTTTTAAACTTTCTTTCACTTGTAAATAGAAAACCACTCTGACCATACCCACTTCCTCAATATCCCCAGAAGGGATAAAGAACGGTCATCAATGGCAGAGAGCGTATGATAGAAATCATTACTCTCTGCCCGCTTCGCGCTCAGAAGGGAGTATCACGACTCATCATCGTGGTTAGCGAGACCAATCACTTTAGAAACACATTTCTCAAGATAGGAACTATAGAAATGATCCCTGAAAGTAAAGTCTTAACTTATTCAGAGATCGAGAGGGGATATCTATTACAGGACTACCATTTTCAGTAACGGTGTAATTGTTTTCCTGAAATTTAATCAACTACAAGATAGAAAGTATAAACAACTTCCAAAACATCGATTATACTTTGTAAAGTTCTGACGGATTCTAAACTAATTTATACAATATTATAGGGTCTATTGTAGGATCCAGAATGCTTTGCGGCAACCGTATCGTGTATAGAGAGTAATTTTAGTATTCACTTATTTCAAAATTCCGCCGAGCCGTTATATATATCTCGACATGCCTTTTGTTTACATAAATTGAAAAACCGGTTATTTAGGATAGGGATAGAAGTGCTTTTTTTTCATTAGTAATTTGTATGTAAAAATAGATACAAAATGAAGGATTTTCTGATTATAAACTGCAGAAGGCATACTTTAAACTACTTTGATTACATTGACTCTTAATTCCCCTGAAACTTCAACGTTTGCTATGAGAGTAACTATCTAATCATTCAGCTTTGCTAGTTTTAAGTTAACTTTCACAATCAAATAGAAAACCACTCTGACCATACCCCCTTCCTCAATATCCCCAGAAGGGATAAAGAACGGTCATCAATGGCAGAGAGCGTATGATAGAAATCATTACTCTCTGCCCGCTTCGCGCTCAGAAGGGAGTATCACGACTCATCATCGTGGTTAGCGAGACCAATCACTTTAGAAACACATTTCTCAAGTTAGGAACTATAGAAATGATCCCTGAAAGTATAGTCTTAACTTATTCAAAGATCGAGAGGGGAAGTCTATTACAGGACTACCATTTTCAGTAACGGTGTAATTGTTTTCCTGAAATTTGATCAACTACAAGATAGAGAGAATAAACATCGTGCAAAACACCAATTATACTTTTTAAAGTTCTGACGGATTCTAAACAAATTTATACAATATTATAGGGTCTATTGTAGGATCCAGAATGCTTTGCGGCAACCGTATCGTGTATATAAAGCAATTTTAGTACTCACATATCATTTCAAAATTCCAACGAGCCGCTATATTTATCTCGACATGCCTATTGTTTACATAAATTGAAAAACCTGTTATTTAGGATAGCAATAGAGGTGTTTTTTGTTATAAACTAAACACATGCATACATGGTGCGTCGTTTTTAATGCTCCTGAAAGCAATCTGATTCACAAGAAGCGTTCCGGTTATAAACCGAGGGACCAAGACACAAATGCAAGGAAAGAAAAATATATTTCAAAAGTTTACCAAAATTACATATCTAAAAGGTACCCAAATACTTTATACCTGATGTTAAAAGCTGTGCTAAATCTTTTTACCGTGGCATTACAAAATCTGTTTTGTAGGATTACTGGGCTGCAGTTGGCCTTGTGGAACAATGGAGGGCAGCATTCATCAGAAAAAAGCGTTACGAAAATCGACAGAAACTGTTAATCAATTTGTTTCTTTTCGTCAATTCCACGTCATACCGTCCCGAATAAACCATTTTGAACAAACATACAGTACAGTACAAAGAATTACTTTATAACTAATTAACAAAATGTTTCTACGAGTTCAATCTCAAACACGAAACCCTGCTATGAAAAATGTATTAACTTGCTTTCTTATAACACATTCGTAAATCAGGCTTTAGGATGGCATTCAAGAAACTTAACGTTTTAAACCACAAAAGGTTTTCCTCCATGCCACTACCCCGTCATTTGGCTAGCAAATATAGGCTATCGTATCAAAACTACTTATTTAACGTCTGCATCAGCTTTCCCTTCCATCTTGATAGAGGAAAAAAATACAACTTACCTGTAAAACCGTGGAGGGAACATTACACTTTTTTATTGTTGTATTTCAACTTTCAACTTGTCCAACATCAGGTCCTAACGACTGATAAGGTGTAAAACAGGCGCTTTTGTTGCGCATGCTCAATGATCTGACTCTTGGCGCGTCTTAAAATAATTAATTCATGCACATTTAATCACCAAATCCAACAATTACAGAACAAAATAATATTACAAACATTCTTGACATCATGGCAAATATAGCATTCCTTACATCTGGTTGGTCTTCTTTCCCAATATATATTTCTAGATATCAAAATGTTATGTAGTAAATAATCTGGAGTAGTACTAATCACATAATACAAATAAAGCATGTGTAACAATGTGTTATAACAGTTACATAGCATTGGCAGCAACTCAATGAGTAAAATGCTGTACAAGTCTGGAGATGAATACTTTTCATGTGAAAAGAGGAATGGTAAGAAGGCACCTATTGCTTTCATACATGCAGCTGAGACTAAAACACAAACAAGGGAGGAAGTAAAGGATAACATATTGACTTTTTAATTTAATGTCAATTTAATGTCAACTCAACTGCTGTTTCAGATGGAAAATAATAAGGCATTCCTTAATGTAGCAGTAGTTTTCACACTATCAAGTGCTATAAAAAACAACCTTTGCAACATAGGGACAAAACATATTTGAAGCACCTCACTTGAACTGAGTTCTTAAATTCTTACTGATGTGCAGCTTCTGATTTACATTAAATTAACTTTACATGAATAATGTAAACATAGTCAAACAGAATGTGTCAAATAATTCTTGTGCTCTTTTTCTTGTTAAAATTTGCAGTGCAGCAGTTTAACATCTTGAAGGAAACAGGTTACATCATTCGATTAATTAAAAAAATACATTTGATTAGAGCAGCCTTTGCAGTTGTTACAGTGAGAAATTTAAATAAAAAATTGATGAAATTCCTCTAATTAAAGTTGCTGTAGTGCTCATCTGTCAGTGAGTTTCTTCTGGGTGAGATGATAATTGGCATCAAATCCTGATGTGGCTGAATGGGGAATGTTTTGGCAACTGATCATCATAGAGAGGATCAGTCAGTGCGGCCATGCTTTTGACGATGATCCGATTAGGATATCTGCGCTGGAAAACACACCGCTGCTAACTGAGGCTGTGGGGACAGCTCGGTTAGATTTTCCATCCTCTACGGCTTCTCCTTAAACCTCCTCCACAGTTTGTGCACATGTCTTCTTGCTTCAGTGTGAACACAACTGGAAAAGGAGGCATGGTGTTGGTCCTTTACCTGGTAAACACACAATTTTTACTGTGAGCATGAGATGTGATAAACAAATCCTGGCCCATACTGATTGATATCACACATCATGAAAAGTCTGACATGTTACATCTGTTAATTCTCAGCATTCTACAGATAGGTTTGGCATATTAGATAAGTCAAATTCACTTCTAAATGACTTCTTTTCATGGGTTAAATTTAAAATGTTAAAGGTATGCTGAAACTTTTATAAAAACAAAATGCGGCCAATTATCTAACACTTTGTGTAAATTGTGGTTGTTGTTAAAGATACTTATCTGCTCGCCAGCTCCTTCTTCAGGCAGGATTTGAAGGAGGTAGCTCGCTCCACTGACTTATAGCCCTGAGATGGTTGTTGCCATGACAGAGGCCAACCCGAGAAGCAAGAAAAACCAAACAGATATAGAGGGAAGGTAAATGACAAAGAGATGAATAAGTGCAAGAATATTAATAGAAATTATGAAGAAAGTTTTACTTAAAAAGTTAATTCAGTACTGAGTTAAATCAAAGTGAAAGAAGGAAATACATAGAAAATCTGAACATTATTTAAAGTTTGTGAGGCCAGGAAAAAAATAGATCATTAAAGGAAGGCCATAGAGTAATTCCAAAGTTTAAAGTCGAGCAATGCAAGCAGTTTATCAGACACATTTTAAGATGTTAAGGGTATTATTTTTTGGCTGAATAACCATAGCTACTCTAAACTGCGATACCAACATGCACCACAGGGAGGCAGTGTGATGTTTGAAAAGTCAAGAGTGACTTGACTCATTTCAGGAGTTACCTGTGAGATTTAACTCTAAACAGTCTATATTTAGAAAAGGTTGACCTATATTTAATTTCAAAAGAAATAACGATTTGAGCATATTCACAACAGAATAAAAGAAGAAAGACCAGCTATTTTCTTTACATTTTAAGATAAGTGTGATCCCGTTTGTAAGTATATGTACAAAAACTAACTAACTAAAACTAACCCTGGCTCCTCTGTGCAGTCGGTCCTTCATGATGCCGATGAACTCCTTGTAGGACAGCTGGTCATCGTGATCAACATCAAATATCTTGAATATGGTGTTGACAAGATGGCGTGTCAGCTTGAGGCCTGTGGCCACATACACCGCTCTTGCAAACTCATCTAGAATGACAGAGGCTTAAGGTCATAATTCTGGATCTTTGCAACACACAAAGCGAAAAGACAACAACCATCTGATTCTTCAACCAGTTTTCTACTACCTTGTCCAATGGAACGTGAAGCGAAGTTGTACATCTGCATGGCAATGGCAAAGTCTTCCAAGTTGTTGAGGAATTGGAAGAATGATCTAAACTCATCAAAGGTGATTCCCTGAAAAAAAAGTAGCCATTCGTGAACCATCCGCAAAATATATCAGAGAGGAGTACAAAGGAATATATAATCTTCTGAGGAGAGAAGCTTGAAAATGGAAATATTAAGTGTTTCAGGCAGTTGCAGACTTTTTCAGTACCAAAGGGCCATTTTGTGCATACTGTATAACATTCCTTGAGAGACACCAGTCCTGCTAGAAGAAAATAATACAAAAAACATGCTATCTATCAGTAACCAAGTGATTCCATGAACTAGTCCTATTAATGACATAGTTTGTCATTAATTAATTGATGAAAGGGTTTCATGCATAAAATGACAAAGAAAAAAATGTAAATATTTTTTGCATAAAAGTACTTTCAGAATGCTTGAGGCTGCACACTGTAGATGTACCTAAACAATTCAGTCTGTCTCCTTTATATGATACTGTGAGCTCAGTAAAATGAATGGTGATGCTCATGTGATCCGATCAGTTCCTTGTGCCACATGCTCTTTAATGCGAACAGTGCAAACCTGAAACAAACAGTTTAATTACGATATTCCAAATAAAACATCCACACATAGAAGCAAACACGGCAAATATGCATGAGCAAATGGAAATAAAGCCAAAGATGACAATGAATCTACCTTCAAAGAAAAAAGAAAAAAGGACAGGAAAAAATGACAGATTGTAACTGCAGGTTGTGTATTTTATGAGGCAGAGACAAACCTCCTGCTTCTTCCACAGCATGAAAAGAGAGGAGGGACAGAAATAGAATTGGGTTGCATCCGGACATAAGGATGACATGCCAAGGAATGGCTAGCTTGTTAGCATAGCTTCACAGATACAGTTGCTTCAAAGATCCGCGGTATCAACACATCAGTGAATGTTCAAATGTTTTAGCTAAATGTGTGTTTCTGTGAGTGCCGGTGTGAGGTCAAGTGAAGCGAAGCAGCGCTGAAGTGTTGAGAGCCACAACAGCCCCAGGTGAAGACAACAGTGGAAAATTATAGGTGCTGCAGCTTTGCTGGAAGGCAGGCTCACTCACCGAGAGGCCAAGAGAAATTTAACAGATGGGTGAAGACCAGGAAATATATCTAATGCTATCTACAGAAAAAAACATCTCGGTCGCTGCTGTCGGCGTGGTCTTTACTGAGTCGTAAAACTGGGAGCATGCCAGTGCCGTACCTTTTCATCAGGAATGCACTGGCGGACGTTCTCCAGGTAAGCACTGATGTTTTCCACGTTGGTGAAGCGCAGCAGAATCTTGGCAAAATCTTCCTCACTGATGGTGGTCATGCCCTTGGAGTAGGTCAGAAACTCTATTTCCAAAACCTCTGTCTGGAGGTTATCCATAAACCTGAGAAGAGCAAAATAGGAGAAAGCATGGTAAGAAGATTTAAGAAAAAAGAAAGTTTTGGTTTAAGATTGAGCCATGCACAACAAGCTTCCAGTACCTGTAGAAGTCATCAAAAGTAAGCTCTGCCTTTCCTTTCTTCCCAAAGAAATGGACCAAAAGCGTGGTGTCAATTGTGATGGAGTCATCTGATCGCTATCGGATGTGGAGAAAAGAGAGAGATGATCGATGATTAAAGAAAACAGCCCAAACACTATGGTCAGAGGAGCAGCAGTGGGCAGGACGAGTCCGTCACTGATCCAACATGGCCACCGCCGTGTGCGAGCAGGAAGCAAGATTCTGCTGTATGTGGGCATAACGTGCGTCAAAAGAGCTTTGGGATGTCAATAAAAGATCAATCAGTTCAAACAATCAGAAGCCATCGTGACATCAAACTAACCAGTCTAGGCAGCAAAATGGAACCTGAAGTTATCGATTTACTGAAGATAAGGTTCGATCAGATATAAATGGACCAGTAAAATTAAGTTACAAAATAAAAACAAGGTTTTCTGTAGTTTCTTGCAGAAAGCATAGCGGGGAAATCAATCAAGAGAGATTGAGGAAGTCTTTATCTGTGCAGTCTAGACTGGTGAGGAGTTGTGCTGTAGCAGCGTAAGACAGACTCACAGACTGATGAACACAAGACGGACCCAAATAAAGACACAGAGACACAATGAAAAACACACTCATGCCTACATCCACTGAGTCAGAAAGAGGAAGGGTAAGGATGAAGGAGGTCAACACGTTAAACATGTAGAGTTTGCTGAACAGATTAATGGAAGAACAACTAAGAATGATTCTGCCACCAAACACAGAGCTGGGAGACACACACAAACAGAGTAGGGCCACTGCATTCCATGCGTTTCTTTGCAAAGACCACGCAGACACTTGAAAAAAACATTGCATGGCAAACAGCAACATTATACAAAACCCACACAAGCACAGATGCAGGAATTCTCTGAGCCGATTCCACCTTTTTCCGTGAAGTGACGAGGATTTCAGCTGTCATCTTTCCAGCTTTGATGCGGATTTCGTTGTTTTTTTTTTAAACTCCCATCCTTTCTCCCCACCCCATTGTTTGGAGAGTGTGTTCACTCAATGATCCCAATCACCTGAAACCCCTCCAACAGGTTCAGGCTGTAACTTCTGTTTGCTTGCTCTGTTATCTGCTGATTAACACTTCCTAAATCCCTTTTAACAACAAGGCGACAGGAGCAAGTTTTTTTGTTGGTCATAGAACCTGTGCTTAAGTTTATGGTTAATTATTTATGCAGGATAATAGGTGTGAACCTCAGAAAAAAGGTGATTGTGCTATTTAGCATCAGAGCAGAAAGAGAGGACTTTCCCCCCACTGCCCGTCATGCCCCACCCAGCCAACCCCAGAGTCAGATCCTTGGCCATGCTGGGAATAACACAGACATCAGATTGACTGAAATCTCATGTCATTCCGAGGAGGAGCATTTATGCCATTTCCATCATAAAAATCACCACGATGCCATTCGTGGTTCTACCTCAAGAGTAAAATCCTAAAGTCACACGTGGGACAAGAAGAAAACGTCAAACAAGATGACAAAGGTTTAAATATGGAAAGAAGTCAAAATGTAGTTTTGTTGCACTTGTTTGTTGTTGCATACACTATTGAAAGATGAGTAAAATATGGATGACAGCTACCTCTAACCAAAGATTACATACACAGCACAATCAGAAAAACTATCTCGTAAATTATATGAAATACTTCCATTACAATGTTTATTCCATTACAATTCACTGAAAATGTTTTAAACCTTAGTACAGCTTTCTAAAAGTATGAAACAGAAAAGGAACAGACCAGCCTTTAAGTAACGGGGGCAGACTAAAAATAAAAATGTCCTCTCTGATAAAATGATTACAATGAATATTTGTATTGGAATGCAAGCTCCTCACATTCAGTTGATTCTGTTTCTCTTTGTGGTCCAATGTGTTCAGTCTTTGATTAGGAACAACAGAAGAATTCCTTCATAAATACAAAGACCACTCACAGACTTGTCATTTAAGTGTCTTGTTTTCCTTGTCTCTGACTAAAGAGTATTTTTTAATCAAAGCCTCTGATTATGGACAGCCAGCACAAAAAATACTTTTGCTCTTTTATCTTTAAACTGAGACATTACTGATGTCTTTATGACACATGAGCTGCTCAGACAACTAGACAGTATCCAGGTGGTGTCTCAATGCATCTTTTCCCTCACATGGATTTCCCTCTTCCCATGCATCTCATTTAAAATGTTATTTCGCTGCAGAGCCATAAAACACACCCTTTTATGCTGGATTTACTTCTTATCACTAGTTTGTTCTAAAGGGATTCATGGTATGAACAGTATAATTCAGAATTTCCAGAATATGGTCCACATAGTAATAGCCTGAGTTGGAGGCCAGTTAGTTATAGATAGGAATAATATCCCACATTTAAGTGTTTTGGTCTCATTTTAAGTCTTATCCTGCTCTTTGAGTTCGGGTTTAAGAAAAGCTGACAACACAGTTCAGGCTGTAATGATTTGATACAATGTGGCAGCTCAAAGATTATTGAGACTAGGAGACTTTCAAGAAAACGGACATCACAAGAAATTGAAACCTGGATGAAATTGGACACTATCACTCCCCCCATTAGGGCATGTCTTTTACCGAAATGTGTGCATTTCAAGTTAAACCTTCCACACTATTAAACATCTGACTTTGCAATTTTTAAGTGATATGAAAAGGAATGATTGATTCATGAACTCAGAAATTCTGCCTTCAGTTCAGAAATATGCATTTAAGACAGTTTTACCAAACCATGAGAAACAGGGAAGTGTTTTCTCCATCTTATTGTGTCAAACCAGGGGAAATGTGTCATCTAAATTCTGTGAACTCAGAGGTCTTTGTTACTGCACAGTTCTAGCTTGTTTTTCTTTTCTATGATGTAAAGTCATAACAAGCTTATCATTCCTGGAAGTGTAGCAGCAGCAGTGTGAGCTCATCATCCTTGTGACAACGTAATAGTTACCACGCCTCTGAGGCACGAGCCAACACCTGGTGCACGCATGTGTCTATTTGTCCATCTGTGTGTGTGCTTGTGAGCTCCGACTGTCTTTGATCACGAAGCTGGGGGTAAAAACAGTAATTACTGATGTAAATGCTAAACGTTCTTCCTCACCCTCCCTATCTGTGAGTAATGTTCCAGAGGAAGAGCTCATTGTCGGTCTTTAGTCAAGTCAGTCAGATTGTCAGTCAGTCAAACCTTCCAGCCGTAAAAAACATCTCATCCTTCCTTCCCCTCTCACGGCATGTTCAGCTTTTTTTTACATGCACCCCAAGCTTTCCACCCTCACTTTTTTCTTTCCCTCCATTTATTACTTTGTTGCTTTCTTCTCCTGCCCCTGCTCTGACTACTCTGATTTCCTTTCTCCACACACTACCCGTCAGTACCTCCTTCACCTGGAAAACACAGAAGAACATTTGCCTTTTCTTACCCCCCACCCCCCCCTCTCTGCCTGTCAGTCAGTCCCTCCTTCTCCAGACAAAAGCAAAGAGGTATAATGGTGACTAATCTGTTGAGTAAACACATCTTTCTCTAAAACAACAACCTGCTTCTTTCTTTTCCCCTAAATGTCCTTCCCAAACCCCTTGTCTTCTCACCCACTTTGTTCCTCGACATTTGCTCATTCTGCTGACCTGTGTTATCTTCTTATGGCCTCTCTCATCTGTTTGTTGATGATCTATTTACATAGCTTCCTATTTTTTCTCACCCTGAAGCTTCCAACTGATTGCAACTTTTTCACACATTCCCCGCTTTTACTGATTTGAATGAATTAAACAATAATTTAATTGTGTCATTTTTAATTATTTGAAATTTAAATATCTTATCTTCTTTTCTTGACAGCCCCTTCCCCAGAGATTGATTTTTCTCTTCTGTCCATGCCGGCAGATGAAAGAGTGCTCGGCGTAAATACATGTTCAGCCCCATTATGATGCACTATCATTACCTCCAGCCTTAGCTTCCGCTGCCACTGAGGCCTCCAGCCTGTCATTAGTTAGCTAGCCTGTTAAAAGTTTGCTAAGCAATTGCTTGAAAAGATTAGATATTTTCTAAACATGCTAACATGTGAAATATAAAACATCTACTTCAGCTGTACTATTCATATCTGCAATCGTTGTTTCATGTATTAAGAAATTCTGCATGACTCAGTAGGAGGCTGTAATCCAGTCACGATCGTGCACTGAGGTCACGTTTCTTTTTTCAAACTGCTTGTAGTGAGAATGATTTGACACTTAAACTACAACTCGTGCCACAACACAGCACAGATACACATACAAAGCAGAGTGAAGACAACAGATAAGAGATGGCAAGTGAGAAACAGAAGAGAAGATTAAAATACTGAGATTATTATTACATTCCCTGAATAGAGTTTTTGGTAGTGTTACAGTGTAGTACACTGAACAAAACAGAAAATAAACATAAGCATGTTTATCAGTTGGAACAAATACGTGAAAGAAAGAATGAAATGATGGTATCTGTTATATTTGTTCACTAGGAATAAATAAAAGTCTAAGTTAAATGTGTTTGTACAGAAATAAATTCAAGAAACTTCACTTCAATTTATACTTTGTCAAACAAAGATGGTTTCTGATCAAATAAATCAAACTGATTTCAATAGTATGATTACACTGAGGTGATCGCATAGGTTACTGGAGCTCAACCAAACACGATTGATTTAATACTAGAAAAAGGGAAAGAGGAGCAGGATGACAGTAGGTTGTACACACTGTACACAGAGATGGTCATTAAAGTAATTATTGAGTAATTATTGTGTAACTCTAGACAAGTGCACTGCACAAAGATAACTCTAGAGCCATGAGGAAAACTGGAGAATTTATAATGCAACTAGACATGGCTGAAGGAGAGAAAGAATGGAGGACAAATGGAGGAATAAATGGACAACTGGTTCTGTGTACCTCAGCCAGGTCAGAAAAGAGGACTTGAGCGGCACTTCGCCTCAAAACGTCCCAGTAACTCCGGGCCACAAACTCCTGACTGTCTTTTTTTAGCACCTGTGGGAGTGGTCAAGCAGGGCCAGGGTCAGTTCATCCTAATTCAGCCAAAGTTATACTGTCCATTTTAATTATATGCAAACATATTCACAATGTTATCGCCCTACATTAATTTTCAGAAAGAAAAGATTTGGACATTCTCTAAGGATGCAATATAGAAAAGCCTTCATGAGGGAAAAATAATTATCATAGGATCTGATCCACATGATCATCATCACATGAAACTTCCTTAATTTAAACACATTTTTTAATCATTAAGAATAACTGTCAGACAATTTTCATCCAATCAAAATCAAAATTTCTCTCATGAAGTAAGCAACAAATAAAACATATTCCAATATTTAAGGACCTCTTAGACTAATATCAATTATCTTAACTATTAAAGAAAGATTCCTCTCTTCCTTAGAACATATTCCTTTGGAATAAAAGCAAAGCGCAGCTCAGAGCTCCTGACCACCCACCTTGCCTTCTGTCTCCAGGGAGAATGCAGTGGCAGCCATTTTAACACCACTTTTAACTTCACAGTGACAATGCAGCTATCCATCACAAAGCTGACCAGATACGGCATTTGTGTGTTTGTGTGTGCGTGTTAAAGACATAAAGACAAGAGGACAAAGTAAGAGAAAGAAATCTCTTTCTTTCTCAAGTTGTGTTTGACCTGTGTAAAAGATGCTTTAAAAAAAGTATTAATCAATAAAATAAATTAGAAAAAGCTATTTATCCGTTTGGATGACAAAAAAAGAGAAATACAGGTATGTAATAACTCTGTTTTTGTTTCTTTTAACATCATCAGTTATTACAAAGTGTTGTCTGTATGTGGTTGAGGCAATATGAAAATCATCTGCTTTAACAAACCTCCCCCAAAGGCACACGCACACATTTCCAAACAGACAACACAAGTCCTAAAATGGTCTAAAATGGCCAGTCTGATTGTGTTTAAAGCTTTTGAGCGTCTCAGGTCGTTCTAAATCACATCAGTTTCTCTTTGTAAGAGTTCATCTCTGCTGACCCCTTAAATCTATTACTCTTTTTCTGCCATTCTTCTGTCCATTCACCCCACAGACTCCACCGTGCTTCGATAAATCAATTGGCTGCCCTGACAGATGGACACCCAATCTCAAATCATTCTCTGTCACTCTTCCTTCACATCCGTCCTTTCAAGGAGCCAACAGAGTATGTTTTTACTGATTACGGAGGATCAGGTGGACTGTGAGAGGGTTAAGGCTTTTTCAAAGCGTAGGTCAGTGGATGACAGGGGCATTTAAACACTGATGTAGTTGAAATCTATTCAAAGGAATCAAAAACACCCACATGACACGACACGCCACATCTGAGATGACACCACTAAAAGTTTAACTGAAGTCGAGGACATAACATACACCTTATTGTTCAAAACCATAACACAATTTAAGGACAGTTCAAATTTATTGTAATGCTGTGATGTGATTCATTTAAAATGTTTTCGTTAGTGGCACGATGATTTCATAGTGCTCTTCAGATATTTATGTGAGAGCCGGCACTGCTGCAAACTCTTTCAAATTAGTAAAATGCATGATTGTAACTCAACTTTACGATCAGGTCTTACTATTTTGTTTGAGGCAGGCCAAACTCATTAAAAAAAGTTGTTTTTAGCTATTGACTGGTCAGGAAAAAGCCTTTGCTAAGAACTTCTTCTTTACAGATCTTTTGTAGGCATAAATAGGAAATACTAAAAAAAAGGAAAAAAAAGAAAAGCCCTCTTTAAACTACAGCCTCTGAACACGTGTAATGTTTCTTGTCTTGTGAGCCTGAAAGGTCTGGTCATCCTGATCTTCTGAAATGTTTTAGGTTTGTTGTTCCTCTCAAAATAAAGATTAATCTCATGTTTAGCAAACAGATAGTGGAATTAGTCCCCTCAACTAAATTTTTAAAAGAAAAGAATATTTGCTCAAGACACAAAAACAATGTGCCAGAACATGAAATAAAAAAATAAAAAAATCTTTGTGTTTTCTGTCCTGGTCCACATACAAGTCAAAATGTGACACATCGACTTTTCTGCTCATTCCACCTTTGAATTCTTTATCTCTCTACACAACAATAAAAGACACACAGGTGTTATTGTTTTGGATACATACGCTGTTCATGGGAGCAACCTGATATCCATACAGCTGCATACTCTAACACAGAGAGAGAGAGAGAAATGAGGAAGAGAAAGAAGAGGTCAGAGCATGCAGTCATAAAGGAGGAGGAAGAGGAGAGAAGGTAAGAGACATGTTACAACATGCAAGGAAAGAGGATGTGTCATGTACGACACATCTGCGATTACAATTTGGAGAGCACACTTTACATTACAACACTGTGCACTGCGTTTCAAAGAGATGATTTGTGACATGATGGATGTGAGGGAAAATTGCACTTTCTCTGCCTGATTTGACCTTTGACTTCAGGTCAAATGTAAGCATTTTCTCGGTTTTTAACTGTTTTGTTTTCTGCGAGCCAAAACTCACCACAACTGAGCAAGTGCAACAACTATCAATAGCATTCCTCTTTACTGTAATATTCTGCCGTAAGATTTGATGTTACTATAATATGTATAAATGTTATACATACTTTATAATGCAGGCACTTGAGAAAACCATAATCATATCACTGAGTTTGTATAAAAGTAAACAAATTATCTCTTTGGTAAAACATATCATAATTAAGTTGACACTGATCCACTGCTAGTTTATCTTCGTCTATTCTAAAATGTCCGCTTCATGGATTACTAGGTGGCTAAAAGCTGCACTTAAGCTGCAATACAGTGTGTCAATTAAAGATATGAGTACCATAAACAGTGTAGCAAAGTGAGGTGGCCAGTTCCTTCAGAGCCTCCATCACAGAAGTGACAAAAACCATACATTTTACCTCTTTTTAACAGCATGGTTAACAGTCACGGAGGTACAAGTTGGGTTACAGCCTGATCTGAATCTGTTTGAATAAGGCAGCATGCACTCACTAGTCAAATTAAAGATCTGATTAACTTGCATTATTGCTAAGCCCCAAATAAGAGTTAACTTGTGTAATTTACAACACACCCATGTGCCGTTGAACTCACACTTTCAAATACTTCAAAAGGAAATGTTGAGACATTTTGCATGCATGGATAGACTAAACCTTCTAGAAATGACTCATGGTTATTATTATTAATCTTGACAAAACCAGAACTTTTAGGATATTCATATCCCAAGTTTACCACATTGCTGAAAGCAGCTTTATCAAAGACCACATCTGTACAGATTTAGTTGTCTCACTGTCTGTTGTGTGAAGGTAGTGAGAAATCTCAGTCCAAAAACAAGCAAATACACCTCTGTAACCTGCCTTCTTACCAACTGTGCTGACTTCTCAGCATCTCCCTTCCTTCCTTTTTTCTCATTTTTCTTCCGGAAAATCTCCTGAAGCTGAAATGAGAGAAGGGATGAAAGTTTCATTAACAAACCCAAATGCTCCTGGAAGCTGAAATGTACATGTACAAACGTCTTTGAGTTCACAAGGTCATTTGTGCAGGTGGTCATTATGCAGGTCTATGATGTGAATCCAATGATTGGCCTTTTGGCAACACCATAAAAAGAGTTGTTTTCTGTAGTGTTACTCTGTGGTTTAAGTTCAGATATCAAAGGACCACAAAATATCAACCGTGCCCGCATTCTGTGCATATATTAACTTCATTCAGACTAATCAAACCCATCAACAAATTCTAAAAAGGCTTTGGGGGTGTTTGTATGAGAGACGATTACGTTTACAGACGACTGAATGAATTATTCACTTCATCCGACGATGACTGCAACTTGTTTGGAAAGCAGATTTATCAGGGCTAACTATCAAAGACTTGAAATGTGGGAATTCTTTTCTTGTTCAACACCTGCCTGACTCCCACAGGATTTAAAGCCATTACCACTCCCTCCTGCCACCCCACTCCCACCCACCTCCTCATAGATTTTGCTCCCCGCCTGCCTGCAGCAGGGTTTTCCGCTGAAAATCTGTCATTTCCATTCCACTGAGAAAGTAACACACGAGGCCATAAAGAGATTAATCAGCTGTGTAACAAGACAGTGTCATTATCTGATATTCTAATTTTTTTTATATTGAAAAAAATCTTCCTGCAAAGGCAAAGATGGAAGAAATAACATAACCAGACACACAAATTAATTAATAAAAAATCACTTTATATGACAAACATTTACATGATTATCATAAAGTGTTTGATAAATGCATGGGTAAAGCCATAAATATCAACCCTTTTGACTTGCAAATTTCAAGAATCAACATGGATTTTCCTAATCTTGTTAATAATGAACCTCCATATCATGATTGTGGGATTTCAGATTTCGAACGTTTCTCTCCATGAAATTGAATTAACAAAATGATCAAGTGGGTTCTTTTGCCTTTTTTGTCACAATATAAGATATTAATCTCATACTGGCTCTTAATTTGTCTAATGTCTTTTTTGTGACAGGGGCAGAGAGGCCCATTAATATTATGATGCAAATTCAGATGGTTTTTCTCTCAGTATCAGCAACTCACCACCAAGAACTCCCTCTTGTCCACCATCTGGTTGCCGTCTGCATCAAACATATTGAAAGCAATCTTAAAGCCAGCATGAGGCTCTGCAGAACAGATAGGAGAACACACAGGGCGTGAGTGTGTGCTTGTGTTTATTAAAGGCTGTTTTATAGCCATTTATAGCAAAGGAAAAGTGGTTTAGAGAGAGAAAGAGAGAAACAATTCTTCAAGAACTGTAAGATACAGTCATAATTTAGATAAGTCAGAACCAATCAAATTGATTAAACACACATCTGCAAAGTCAGCTTTAAATCATACAAAATTGATATGGAAAATGTTGCAAAAATACCAAATTAACCAGAAGTGTTTTCCCTGCAAGCAAAAATAATTTTGATTTCAGATTCAATATTACATTGAGCAGCTATTTAAACCTTATATGATTGTTTTTTTTCATGCAGGGCTGTGACAGTTATGTTGCATATTACTCTTGTACTTGCTGTCGAGCTTCTGACATGCTGGCATAGAAAGTTTAGCTTTTTTTCTCTTTGACTCAAGCAGCACACTTTTCTATGATGGAACATGTAGAAATACTTAGAAGCACATGCCACCAGAACTGTTCATGGTGTGCACTGAGACCATCTGGGGGTGTTGTCTTTAGTACCGAGGCATTAGCATCAAATCCTTCGGCCTCAAAGCAGATAAAAAGTGAAGCATCAAACGAAAGAAAGATGTGTGAAGACTGAAATGACTCACTTGTCAGGATGCAGAGCAGGAACAGGTATTCTGTGTACGAGATGATGCCTGGTGATGGAATCAAGACAGGGAGTTGAAAAAGGTCACATTCAAGACAGTCCCGCAGTGTTTACAGATGTTCAAAGCCCATGGGCCCCTTGAGCTGCACACACAGTCAAACACACTAACACACTTAATCCTCCCTTTCATGAAGATAGCATCTTAAAATGTGTCTTCTCCAAGCTGAGCTGCCAACAGCCATTTGGCCACACACACTGTCTCTTTCTCACCGGAGTCCAGAGTATTGACACAGGTTAGTGAGTGTGTGTGTGTGTGTGTGTGTGTGTGAGTGTTTTGATAAGCAAGTGAAAAATGTTTTAGCACGTTTCTTGCCTCTAGCACATTTAAAATCTTTGACGCTCCAGGTCAGCTCTCTGTCCTTTTTTTTCTTTTTTTTTTTTGCTTTCTGTCTGATCGCTCAGATAGTTCAGGGTGACTCGCTTGAGTGTTACGGAAGACTACTCTCTCTTTGGTGTGTATGTAAGCACGAGTGGGTGTAAAGGTGAACCTGACACCAGTTAGAGCCACTGTGAGCCTTGTATTTTGCTGATGCTTGACTGCTTTGTGCAGGGGAGCTGGTTTGGAACTGAATTCTCTTCTTCCCAATGTAGCCTGAGCTCTGCAAAGAGCAGAAAACACACTCTGAAGCGGCTCAGGTTTCTTCATACAGTCTGTGTGTTTACACTCCCATGCTTTCAGCGACATTCTAATGAATGTGGGGCAGGTGAATGTTGATTTTGGGGCGTGTGTTAGTGTCTAACAGCACATTTTATACTGCAGAAAACAAAAAAGAAACAATAATGTAATGTTGAATCTGAATGCACTTAAGCTTTCACATTGGCACAAGTTAAAATAGCATTCAGACCTCTATCGTGACTGTCAGTTGCCGTCAGTTTGATCTACTTTGTACTGGAAGTATCTGTGATGTCAGGGCACAGGCTCGTACTGTATCAATAATATCCTATATGTATATCTGGCCTTTCATTCTGCTGAGTTTCTGAAGCCAAGTTGCAAAACAACTGGGCAGTTTCATAACAAGTTGCGGACCTCATTACCACAAACATACAAAAAGAGCAGTGAGCACTGTTCTGGTAACACACTGATTTTCTCTGCCTGGGACACAATTCTGTCACTGTAAAAGATCGGACACCATTCAAACTATTTTCACTGTCCTCTCTCTTGCTAGTATGAAGAAGCAAGTCCGTTCGGCTGCAGCTTGCACAAAAGATAATCTTGAAACAGAATAACATTATGTGTATTTAAACGAACAAACAAGTGTCAAGACAAATATAACTGTATAATTCATATCTGTTTTATGTTTTACAACAAATAACTTATAATCCAACTACTCCTGAATTTATCTACATTGATCCATTTATTGTTCTAACTTTAAAAAAAATGTCCTGACTCATTAAACTCTTACTTCTCCTCTCCTAGATAGAAAAAGGAGAGCAGAACATCCACCTGGATGCTGAATGTCCCAACAGACTTATTCATGTTGCATGAATATACCTCTGCTAATATGGGAGAAGGGGTGTATCACACATGGTGTGCTAAATTTAGCAGTATACAGTGTGTGTATGTTTGTGTTGATCTGTGTAATTATCACTATGGGGACTCAGTCCCTGATTGTGTAATTCCTGTTAGATATCCCTGAAGCAACATTTTAATTAAGGTAAGCTCATCTTCTCTTTTTCTCTTTGGAGAAGCATAAACTAGGATTGCTTTTAAAGATAATGAGGGTCCAAGAGGAGAGGCAAGGAGAAGTAGAAGAGATTTTTTTTTCAGCAGGTTGTTTGGCACCAAGCAGGGACAGCATGACACCAATACCGGATTAGAGACACCCACAGTGACACAGATACTCACCAGAATTATTTAAGAACAAATCAAACAGTAGGTTGTGGTGGTAAGTAAAATGCATATCAATGGTGATTTACCACTAACCTTCATGTCTCATCAGTTGGAAGGAGAATAATCTGTAGATAAGTTGTTGTTGAAATAAACACATATTAAACTCATCTATTAATGCTAGAAATCTTTGTCTGTCCACATTCCCTGAGGCTGATTAAAATATGACTATAATTTGTTTACTCTGAGGGAAGCAAAGCCCAAATTGTAAAAATGCAACTCTACTGCATGTGTACAACTGAATGGGAAATGTAAATCTCTAAAGTAAGAATATTTTAATCTGACTTCAATGTTAAATCTTTTTTTAACCAACGTCTTTGGTGTATACATCAGTATTTCAGTTTATTTAATTAAGGTTCAGTGCATAATTTCCTCTTTTTTAGGGGTTCTGAGTTTTGAGGATCAATACAGAAAATGTTGGTGCTAAACATTCAGTTAGAATGGTTCAGTTGTAGGACAGTGCATTATGCAAGCGAAAAGAGCCCACAGAGCCTTTTGTGTGAGCGTCCTCCCTCACCTCGTTCTCTAAGGTTGCGGAACAGTTTAGAGGATCCTCTCCATACTGGGGGGGTGTCAGACAGAATTTTCTCCAGCTCCTGACACATGTGAACAAAATTAAGAAAATCTGTAAAACCAAAGAATTCAAACCTGTGCTTCCACACAGAAACAAACAGAAAGCTGGAGAGACAGAACAGCATGCATCAGCTTGAAAGGTTTTTATTAGGCATGTGTTTAAATTGAGCTAGAAATAGAGATAGAGATAGAAACAACCCAGCTAAAATGTTTTATGTCTTTTAACAGAAAAGACACTGCAGTTATAACTAAAAGTTGTGGACACATTCACTGGTGGTACTCATAAAATCATTTGACTTCATATTTTAAAAATATTTGCAATTATTGAGGGGACAATGGCCATTCTTTCCTATGATGTGAACAAATCAGGCTGTGATCAGCATTACTGACAACAACACAATTACTGTGAGGATGAGAGAAAAAAAAGCACCTGACATGTACAGGAACCTTGGATCAGAGACACTATTCAGTCCAAAATTAAACATCACTGGACAGATTTATCAGAGCAAATGATCTGTGATCACTTAGGTCGAGGTAAGAGCAACTTAAAAATTTGGTCGGCCGACTACCTGAAGATTTCTAAATGACCTCGTTTTTTATTTTACAAAATTGCAACTTTTACTTTTTACTGGAAAAGGAGTATACAAGTATACCTACATTTTTCTTAACAGTTTGATTATTTATGCCTCATAGTAGCACTTTCTTGTTCTCTATCTTGTGTGTTGAGGATTTCAGGCTGGCAGTGGAGTGTTCAAAACTAAACCAAGTATTTCCCATCTTGTTGGTTCAAATACACTAACAAAGAAATAATCAAATACATTTTAAATAAACACACATGGAAAACCTTCGCGTGGAAAAAAGGTGAAGTTAGCAGATGAAACATGCAACAGATGTCTGACTGCATCATGGGGCAGCAGCAGAAAGAAAGATTTAAAGTGTGTCTCCCACCTGTTTGGTCAGGGACCTCCAGGGCTTCTTGTCTGCACGGATCAAGACAAAAGAGAGGAGAAAAATAAGGGAAAGAGGAGAAGAGAGTTTGGGTGGGCTCAGTCAGATAGCATCAGTACGATCTAGAAATGGGTCTTAATGTTCTGGGTACAGTCACAACACACACAAACATACACACATAGGCGCACTCACTTTATATACACTGATCATCACGGGTCCATTTGTACCGTCTAAAGTGCACCGTACTTGCCTTTGTAGTAAGTGGAATGTCCCAGTAAAAGCACATACTACTTTTGTTCTGTTTTATACAACAAAGTTCATCTAATTCAACTTCAAAGAGGGCATTAGAGGATTCCGTCTACCGAGGGGTTATGAACGGCTGTATCGTATGACGGTGAGTCATGGGTAGATGTAACCCCACATACACATACAGGTGCACAGTTGGCACGCAGTTCAATCGAATGCCAACTTAGAAAAAGACACATCTTTTCTTTGTTTGTGATAACCTCAATGTGTACTGACATTTTTAGACCAGTGGTCATACAGGAGTAATTTCAGTTTATTGCCCAGTTTAGATATTTACAGGATAAGAGTGGGTACATAAGAGCAAATGGAATGTGAGTCTGTGTGCGTCTGACTAACATTGACCTCAGACTAAACAATAGCTGTAAAGCCATCTGCTTTGAGGCTTGCTGGCTGGGACTAATCTGCTACAACTAGCAGTGAGCTGACAGAATCTGCAGATATGTGCTTAAAGTCATCATTTTTAAGTGTTTCAAGATACTGCAAATTAAAAATTCTCTCAAAACAGTGACATCCATTTAGGGGAAAACCAACCATCAACATTCATTTACATCAAAGAAGATTTTATAAACTTCTTTAGAAAGCAGATTTGTGTTGTTCATATATGTTTCATTGCTTATATTGTGTTATTTAGTCATGAACACATTCAAGTATAAAATGTTTCACATTTTCAAAATATACATTTAATATCTGGACATATCAGGGAATATGTCCAAGGAATTCATGTATTCGAAATTAAATCAAGTTTGAAAGTTTAATTTAACAGACATGAGTTATTTATTTTTTCAATCTGCAGTGAACCATATTAAGTAGAAAACCTTAAAAAAATATTATTTTAACCATGACGGAAAAACATTGGAAGACAGGTCAGGATGTCAGCATTGACAACAAAAGGTGCATCTTTCAAAGATTCCATTTATGTCAGCGTTATTTACAAAGATAGCCCTGTATTTGAAAGAACTTTGGTCATTCATTGTTTATTTTCCAAATTATTGTTAGAATTGTTAGGACAGTTTTATGAGAAAACAGTGAAATATCCATTCTGCTCAGAAATGCAAATGATTCCTGTAGTCTCATCTCAGGCTCATCTCAGATAATAAGGAAAACAGAGAGCATTAGCCGTCAGTCAAATAAAACAATTCAGGTGCTTTTGGGAGAAATCTGCACTCAGTTTTACGTGTTAGAGACTAAAGAGAGCATCCTGATTATCATCAGAGAAAATTATATATTAGTCTGTAATTGAACTAAATTCTAAATAAAGCTTTCTCTATTCATACATATTTCTTGTCTGTCAGAAAGCTAAACTCATCAGTATTGGAAAGTGACAGTAAGCACATGTCGATTTATGGTTAAATGACTCAAAGTCCAAAGCATTATGCCCTAATAAAATCATAATTATCTTATAAAGTCTACATTTTCCAAATCATTCTCGACATAATCTTTGCAGGAAATGTTAGAAACAGCATAACCTCTAAAATGTTTTTTCACATAGCTCTCTGTGTTACAGCGTCACTCTTCAGTCAGGAACTGGATTTTTCTCCCGGGCATGAAAACTGAAACAGGACAGTTGCTCAATTAAATGGCCAAGATGAGCTGTAAATATATCTCGACTTAACTGTGCACGTGCAATTTTTTACTCTCCATGGCACAAATGACTCAGTGTGTGAGGGTACCATAGATGCAGAGGCGCATATTGGAATTTAATAGGGGCATATGCTACCATCTGGACGACCGTTTTCTCAGGCGGTCTCTGGTTATTTCAGCAGGACAGTGCCAAACCTTGTTCCGCACGTCTTTGAACAGCATGCCTTACAGATACAGTGTGTGTGTGTGCTTGGCTATCCTGCCAGCAGTCCAGATCTGTCTCCTATTGAGAATGTTTGGTGCATCATAAAGAGCAGAACCAGGCAAGAACAAGGACTGCTGAGCAGCTAAAATCTTGTTGTTTTTAAAAAAAGCAAGAATAGACACAGACTTCTCTGAAAGAATCCAACAATTTTTTAGCTCAGGTCCTCAATATGTGAAATGTAGTTCAAAAGCAAAGGAATATAGCATAACAATAAATATATATCTTTACCAATTTTTTAGAATGGTTCTCTGGTCAAATTTTATATAACTTCATGGATTAACAACCTTTCTCTGTTCTTGACAAAGGACACAATCAACCCAAAATTTTCACCTTTGAACTTCAATGCGTCAAAATGATTACTCTAACTGGAAAAGGCATTAGCATTTGGTTTAAGATTTTTTTTTAAATTTCAATACAAACAGGGGCCATGGATAAAAAAAAATCATGTACATTATAGAAACTGTGAAGGACTGATGACCTGTCCAGTCTCCAGCCCTACCCACAACCCTAGAAAAAAAAAAAAACATTGCATATGGATGGATGTACCCTAATACATTCATCTTGACGCAGGTTTGATAAGTGGAGACCTTTTCAATGGAGACCTTCAGAAAGACATTTGAGCAAAACTGAAAAAGCTAACCTCTTTGACTGATACATACTTCTTGGTTCGCTCATGGTGACAGACTCGATGAAGTTCTGCGGTGTCATGTACAGCTGTCCGTCATATTCCACCGAGCTAAACATGCGGAAACGATATTCATGAGATGACATGTACACATCTCCGTCCTCAAAGTCAAACGGACGTCCCTGCAGACAAGAATCCAAAACAAAAAACAGAACACGTACTTAGTTTGCGGCCTGCATGATTAGCTTGACGAACAGTCCATCATTCTGGGTGTCAGCTAAATTACTTCCAGATGTAAACACGCTGATTATTGAAACGTTGTAAAGTTACTGATTTAGAGAATATCATCATTAGTTCTGTGAAGAGTATTGCAGTGTATGATTGTGTGTAAACAAAAACTTTTAGTACCTAACCATCAGATTTGACTTTCAAAACCCAAAACCTCAGTATATCTATATGCTGCGGGGCTTCTACTTTGAATGTGACTTCCACAGCTGCACACAGACTGCAGAATCCAAGCCGAACACACCTTCTCACTGCTTTTGAACTTCTCCATAATGAGGATATCCATCTATTCTTGGCATCAACTCTCTCCATTTAGCTCCCCGAGATTATAAATAGAGTCAACACCTCTGGTGCAGTGAGAGGCAAGAACAGGGGCACACACAAACACGCGGAAGACACACACAAACACTACTTTCTACTTGATTAGCTTCCCTCTCTCTTTCTAAGGGAGGAGCCAGGGTTTCAACTTGATTAGTTGCAGGGTAGGAAAGCTGCTGTACCAACAGAGTGTGCTGCATGAATATGTGTAATTAGCAGAGAGGTTTCCAATTTTAACCTGTTTGGCTGCGGGCCCCAGCTCACAGTGTTCCTGCTCAGCTCAGCGAACATGCTAATGAGCATGCAAGTTCATTGATAAAGCTTTGATGCTGCCTTTGCCGAGGGAGCTCTGGCAAGCACGGAAAGGAGATGAATGCTTAGGTTTCATGGGAATGCACTGTAATCAAGTAGAAGACACCCGTGCAGCGCAACAAAATGTAAAAAGTGTTTTGTTTCTTTAGAAAAATAGGTAGAGATTGTGAAGCAGTCAGTGCAGTACACCACGTTCTTGTGTATTTGTCATGTATCTACAACTGAACTGTTTGTGTTGCCTTGCTGTGGTTCTCCTGACTGTACAGCAGATGCTCCAGGTGTTTTCCCCCTAGAAAATCTGGCATTTTTTCTTCACATCGGCAGCTTTTTAAGCCTCCTCACTACTTCTGTCTGTCAAGCTTCTCAATCATTTTTTAATCTAGGCATTAAAAGAATGGGTCAAATTTTTCCACAGCCTGAGATCTACCACAAATCATTACATCTCTTCAAACATCTCTTCCCAAATTGTCGAAATACCCCTCTGGTGCATTCTGAGTTTCTGTAGAGGACCACAGAGGAGGGATAAAGTTTACCGACATGGATCACTGAGTTTGGCCTATTTTTCCTGCCAGTTGAAAACCATCCTACTGTATACACACTGTTGTAAACAACCATCATGTTTGTGAACGATTCCAACTGGTATTCCCAAACAAGCGAGTATTTACGAACACTACTACAGAAAGGTTTTACACAAAATGATTCAAGCAGAATCTGTAAACATCAGCTGCCTTCTTAAAATACAGATACAACTATAGCTGCAAATGCTGCTAATAAATACAATTTCAAATTGACAACTCCAAACATTAACAAATGAAGATGAGCAGAAAACTGATGAGAGAAATTAACTTCCACTTCATGTCCATTTGGAAGCTCTGTTTTGAATTGTTCTCTTTTGAACTATGTATATTAAATGCTACTTTTACACAAGATTCTTCCACGTATAGGTCACAAATGATTGGTCTGGTTGGACATAAATAACATCAAAGTGCCTGATGTAAGAGGCTCTTTCCTGCTGACCAACTGGTACTACGATGCATGTTTTCCTGACCAGGTGCAGAGATTCTAGTCGTTGAAAGTGAAAGATGTTATTCTAAATTAGGGCCTTATTGTGCTTCCTCCGGCAGGAAAGCACCAGCAGTGAACTCAGAGAAACTTCCTGCCGGCCAAACTGAGCATTCCCTGTGCATTGAATTCAGCTCATCCTCAAAAGTGAGAGGGGGAAGCAGAAAAAGCCTCTATTCTTCTGACTAATGGGAACATCACATCATCACACACCTCTGCAGAAACATATTAAAGACTTCAAAGCCTCCCTATTCTGTCTGCTCCAATGTTTAGACCGAGACTACAGACAGAGTGGAAGGAGTAAAGTAGGAGGGACTTTAAAGCTTGTTTAGAAAATTATCCTGGTCGTGTGAAGGGAGAAGTAGCATATTCAAAACTCACCTTAACTGAGTTGTTACCAAGCAAAAAACAATGTCTTTGTTGGGTAGGCATTTCCCTTCATGAAAGAATAGCGCTTGACTTTAATATCAATCAGAGCCATTACAATAAGGGGTGCAGGTCAGGTTCTGGTGACTTAAAGGCAACCTACATAACACGTAAAAATTAAAATAGTTATAACAGACAGCTATTTTATACATTACATATAGATTTATTTTAAAAGATTATTATAAGAAGTTTATAGGATATGAAATAGATATTGAAGATAGATAAATAGATAAAGTAAGATCATGTTGAATCATACCAACCGATGCAAAGTGAGTTCTACTAAGTAAGTTTTGTCACCAGATCTGCATCTTCTTTAAGAAACCATTTGCATCACAAACGTGACAGACCAAATTAAGTAATTAAGCATCATTTACAGCAAACAGAGGGAACATGGACTGTCCTTATTTCCAAATCTGCAAAGCACGAGTTGCTGTTCCTTTCCTTCAACATGGTGACAACATCATTGACGGATGTGTCCAGCTGTGCTGACCTGTGCACATCTGTCTGAGTGACTACGTCGCCCCCTGCGCGTTTCCATTTCAGCACCAGCGCGTGCGGATAGCGCCGTCCCTGCATCTGCGCGCGCACCCCGTCCCGCGGCCAAACACTGAGCGAAGTGTTTCCACAGGGCGTGCTGGAAATGAGTGGCACGGTTTTTTCCGCTCGGGAGGAAAGCTAAAAAAGAAACCCTCCCAGAGGCGTAGGCTCGTTTATGCTGGCACTAATCTTGGGAAAGAACTGTGAGAAAAGCTCGGTGGTATCTGCCATTGCACACGGTTACCCGTCGTTTTCTAGAGGCCCATATGTCAACAAGAATCACTTCTGGATAACGATGCACCCATTCGTTGCTCGTCGAGACCGAAACATTTGTCCATGTCAACCACTCACCTTCTCTTTGGCTTCGACAGTCGGGATGGACGGCAGCAAGCCGTTGATGCTCTGCCTCTTCATCCTTTTCCTGTCTATACCGCTTATGTCTTTGTAAAAGTAAATAGCCACGGCCCCTCCCGCCGCAACGCAAGCCCCGACTGCCAGAGACCTCCGTCTCGTCGCGGCATTCACCCACCGACTGACCACCGGTTCGCTTTTTGCCGCCGACCACAGGCTGAGCCTGCCAGCCAAAGCTGCCACTCGGCGGAAAGCGGCCATTGCTGCCGTTGGGGCTGCTGCTGTGCTGCTGTGATTGTAAGTTTAGGGGCAGCTCAAAACTATCGCGTTTAATCCATTTCATCGCGAGATGTGGCGCGTAGCCACTCTGTTGATGGTGCTCCTGGGAGCAGAGTCCCCCTTAGGAGGATATGATGTTTTACCAAGAGAAAGTGAGTGATTAATCCGAGTTTCAGCTGTAACCATATTAAGCTGCGCGAGGAGGCTAAGATTGTTTGGTTAACATTTGGACTTTAAGCTAAAACCACAAACACACAGTTTACAACTGACTTGGCAAAGCTGACAGAGAAAAAAAGATGTATCACAGTATCATATGGAAACAGCATTCAAATGTATTCAAAGGCATTATTTTATATATTAAGATAGGAAACAGGTCAAATAGAAATGTAAAGTCGTATAAATGTACAAAGAATTTACAAAGAAGAATCTGGAACAACCTAACACTCATTACATCCTACAAATTCTAATTAGTAATTCTCGACATTGGATTTTTAGTCTTGATAATGGAAATGGAGTTATTTCACAAGACCAGTTTCCAATGATTTCCAGTCAAGTTCCCGTGTGATTTGGCTTGTCCTTGTCTCTAATCCTTGAGGATTTTGGTTGCAGACTTTCTGTTTGCTGATAAACCTATGGTGGATGGGAGATGGACCAGCTAAAGGACAAGAACCATCTCTGTACTGGTGTCATCTCTTAGCTAGATTGGTTGTTCTATGTTTCCTAAAGATATATTTTCAGACCACATGTATCTGCTGTACTCATGGCCTTCCATTTCATTTTAGTCATCCACTTTACTACTTTTTTCTAAGTCGTTAAAGGACCCTCTTCATAACATTATGAGATGAGGTTTAGGTTAGATGAAGTTTTAGGTTAGATGAGGTTTTAAGATAGAAGTTCCAATGATCATGAAGTAAAAATATTATTTTATGTCTTGACTTGTGTCATCTTCCATATTGTTAGCAGATTTTATTAAAGAAATTGGAACAAATTATTTCTTTATGACATACTGGTACATTGTTATGTGTTAATAAAATGCTACTTCATTCCTTGAATTATGTTTTTGTGTTCTAATGATCAGATCAGAGCAGTGTTTTATGGCTTAATGCAAAAATAAAGGTTATACGGAGGAAATTATAATCAGCTGACAACATTTATGAAGCTTCACTTTTGACTGAACGTCAGTATAGTATCAGATTTCCAGAGCTAAGTGAGGATCAAAGCAGTTAAGGGAGAGCAGATATCAAACAGATATCAAAGATGAACACTTCATTTAAAGTCTTCACTTGTGGGACTAATCTTAACCTGATGGGGCTTTTCTGATGACTTTGATGCTGAAAGAATAAAGGGGAGAAGTGTAAAGGATGGGCCTGTCACCTGTTCACACATGAAGCAATGTGGATCACTCTGCTGTTTAGCTGAAAACAGATCAAACAATCATTATCAAAACCTCCTGGTAAAATTAAACCAGTGAATGGTTCAGTACAGCCCCCTGGTTTCTTTTTTCTCATACCAAAAAGTAATTTGGAGAATCTTGGTTACAAGAATAACATTTTCTGAGTAACAGCTAATGTAAATGTGGCTATCTGAAAAAAACAAACATCAACCTATATCCTAACAGAAAACAATTTAATGTGTTGTACATTGAGAAATGTCAAAGTTACATTAGAATAAAATCTCAAATCATTATGCTTTTAAACGATTCAATTAAAGTCTCATTGTAATAGGGGGCTTCTGAAATCTGCCCATTAGGACCCCTGGAGTTTCCCAGACCCTCGATTTAGAGAATATACTTGCATTAATAATAACCTCTGGCTACCTTTTTTTCCCCATGTTATTCCATTACCCGGGCATTCGATTATAAGCAGTCATTTCTTTGTGTGTGTTTATGGGTGGGGGTGTGTATAACCCGAGGGTCCCAAACCTCATCATTATCATCATCACCCTCCTCCTCAGCGCGGCCGCTGCATGCTTGACTTCCCACCGTGGTCACGAGAGCAGAAAACAGAAACTACCGTTTGGAGCGAACCACGTGGTCCTGGGAGTCGCTCACTCTGCGAGTAGCGCGCGAGGATGTGGTGTCGACGTCTTCATTGAGGCGAGCTCGATTTCCGATGCATCTGATCAGCCCCAGGCCACTCCGATCGATCCAACCCAAGTTGTGCGTGCGTGTGTTGCCCACATAGTACAAATGAATCGAGAGAAAAGATGGTGAAGAGCGCGAGGAGATGTCACGCCGGTCTGTCTCCCTCGCGTACACGTGCCTGCGCACGCACGTCGAGGCATATTAGATTGATAAGGCAAATGTCGTTTTTGTTACGACAGGGATATCGACGGACGTGCGCGCGATCGCTCGCGCGCGTGCACCACACCTCCCTGCCCGCAACTCATTTATCACCGCTGCTCCCAGGAGAGGGCTTGTGGGGGAGCTGCGTGGGCGCGTGCGCTCGTGTGCACGAGAGTGTATCTGTAGGCTATAGCTGGCCAAAATCGATGCCATATAGGGACCCCGCGTGCCTCAGGTTCTGATCAAACTATAGCCCAATCAGACACAGTACCATGGCTTCATTTTCACAGCCAAGCCTGAATGAACATTAAACTGAAGACTAAACACAAATGAATGGTGGGAGTCCCTCATATGAGACGGGTTAGGGCCTGTGTCCTTTTCAAACCCACGATCTGCCAATGCACCCTTGACGCAGCCAGATTATTAAACCCCCAATGTTCACAAATGCTGTTAATTTGGCTGCAAGGTACCGGCGATGGTGCAGGATTATACGGTCATCGTCTCTTATGTGGTTAAAAAAATATGAATATGTGCGTAGAACTCAATGTGTTTATATCCTCAGTCCTTCAAGTGTCAAGTGTCGGGGTATTTTCTAAGTTTGACTTCAAATGGTATATATTCTGGTTGTTATCACCTGATCCCCTTACAAGATCCCTGCGCTTTGAAGCCCCAGTGTCTTTGATTCGTCTTTTAAGACCACAATTAAGGATATATGGGCTCCTGCGCTGTTCAAAGCATCATGGAAAGATCAATGAGGGGATTGACAGTCAAGTGATGTCGTTTGCACAGGTGTGTGTGGGTGCAAGTGCATGATTGTGTGTGTGGACTGGAGTCTGTGTTTGTGTCTGTGCGGGTGCTGTAAAACGTGCAGATGAGTTACATAAAACGGGAGCAATAAATCAACAGCCGGGTGCGAAAATTACGCAAATGGGGGCTTTCCTCTGTCTCTCGTTGCACCTGAGTCATTTCAAAATCGGGCCAAGGGGGTTATAAAACGTTTAGGGTAGTGGCGATGTCACTTTCCTGCTGTTTGACACAGACTAGATATAGACTTTCTTACTCTCCACGTCTGGTTATATTCCACAGACAAGTTGTTGTGGAGTTGCGCACTCCCCGTGCGAACATCATATGAGCGCAATGTCAGTCTATTGGGATTGCCAAAGTGCCCGTGAGCGCTGTTATTTGTAGCAGCTGTGGAGGGGAAATGAGCCTATATAAGGCTTTTTTCTATCAGTAGTTTAAATAGAATCTCCAAGTCCCCATGCGCTCTCTGTGCTGGATAGAACAAAACGGAGAACACAATCAAAGGTGAGACAGCAGAGCAATGAGCGGAGAGATGAAGGTGGAGTAGAACCGAGTCATAAAAAGGAGGGGGTTTAAAAGGAGGGGCGCATTTGCATAAAAAGCCAACTCGGGGTGAATATGAAGCAATGCGTTATATGCTTGTGGATTGAGGACACGAGAGGAAGGGACTCGGACTGCTGCAGACGGGGGAAAGGGCGCTCATACATCAACCACGCCGCAATTAGATGAAAACCTAATTAACAGTGCGCCATACGTGCACACGGGGATTTTCTCTGCTCGCACATTCAACTTTTCTGTTCGATCGCTTCGGGGGCTCAGCCTTGCTCGCGCATAGGAGCCTCTCTGCTCATCACTTGGACCTCTACTTGGCTCTTCTGTGCTGCAAAAACCAGAATCGGGTGTCAGATCTGTGATGGGGGCAGCGGCCGATGTTGGGAGTTTCGCCAACGGATTTTTGGACAGCTTTGGTGCCACGGGTGGTGCGCAGGGTCCCGTCGGCTCACATTTCGTTCTCACGCCAGCCGGAGCTGTGGACTACAATTCCGTAACGGGACTGATGATGGGAGGACAGGGGCAGCAGCCGGATCACCTAGTGTCCGCAGAGAGGCTGTCGCGCAGCCTGGCAGACCTCAGCCACCTGAAAGGGATTCTGAGACGGAGGCAGCTGTACTGTAGGACCGGCTTCCACCTGGAGATCCATCCTGATGGCACCGTCCAGGGCACGCGGAAAGACCATAGCAGATTTGGTACAGACATATTTCAAACTAGTGCATTATTACGATTGTTTCTTGTCTAAGCCTTGTGATTGTACAAATATCTTGAGGGATGTGCACCTGAAATCCCCCCTAAAAAGGGGGAATTCTACGATCTAGTGGTGAAAAAAAATATTCCAAAGCAGTATATGAAAAAAATAGCTTTTTCTTAATTAAAAATGCCAGTGATACAGCCACCTTATAAAATAAACATGGATGTATCACTCCGATCCCTTGGGGTGCCCACACTGTAAAACTATCAAAACCATCATGGCCCTGCTTCTCTTTCCACTGAGCCATCTACTGTTCAGAGCTTATGTATTTGCAGAATATTTTACTTTCAGCGTTTTTCAATGTATCTCACGATGCACAGCCACAGCCTGTGCTACTTTAAAAGGAACCTAGTGATTCTGAATAGTACTGCAGCAGGCAGATTGGAGCACTTCTGATTGATTTGATCCATTTAAGGGTTTGATGCAACTTTATACCACACAGCTTTTCAATCTTGACTCTTCTAGTTATTATATAGATAAGTAGCTGTATTTTGTGCTGAATTTACTTTACAGGTAAAATTTTGTTCCAGTGAACTTTTAAACTGGATCCATTATGACTTTAAAAGTACTACTGTAATCTCCGAAATGCATATTAAATCAAAGATAATATCTAAATCTAAATCTATTAGATCTAACAACTGAAGTAATTTTTTTTTTTAATGTGTCTGTGCAGGCATTCTGGAATTCATCAGTCTTGCTGTGGGTCTGGTCAGCATCAGAGGGGTGGACAGTGGCCTTTACCTTGCCATGAACAGCAAGGGAGAACTGTACGGATCGGTAAGGACAAACATGAACAAATCTCCAACATTCTGAGGAGCATATGAATTTGAGCCTGGCATTTGCTTTTACTGACTGATTTTGTCTCACATCCAGTAGGTGGCACTTTGTGCCCCATAAAGCACATCTCTTTATCTGCTTCTCTTTCTGATTGTTTGTAGGAGAAGCTGTCAGCAGAATGTGTCTTCAGGGAACAGTTTGAGGAAAATTGGTATAACACATATTCTTCGAACATTTATCGGCACGGGGAGAAAGGGGCATTTTACTTTGTCGCGCTCAACAAAGATGGGACATCCCGTGATGGAACCAGATCAAGACGGCATCAGAGATTCACTCACTTCCTACCAAGGCCTGTTGATCCAGATAGAGTCCCAGACCTGTACAGAGACATACTGGGCCAGAGCTGAGAGCAAAGAAGTTCTAACAAAACTCTGTCAAAGCTGTTTGGAGCTGAAAGACCAACCGAGTGCACCCAACCTCATCTCCTTTTTCAAGGGAGGGGTGGTGGAAGATCTTGTTTATCTGGACTAAACAGGATAGTAGAAATTGCACGAACCAAGTCAGCACTCCACACCTCTGGAATGGAGGAAGGAGAGAAGAGCAGATAGGCCTGAGAGTTTGAATAGTTTAAGGAATCTTTTGTGGAAGACCTAAAGAGACCATCAGAGAAACAGAGACTTTGGGCTTCAAATATTTCCTCTTTGGTGGTCTATGCAAAGGCCCTGATGATTTGGATTTCCTTTGAATTTTGACTAAAGAACCCCAAATACATGGTGGTCCAGACTGCATGTTCAAAGGGACACATACAAGGACTTGATAGTTTAAATTAACCACTGGCTGCTATAGCTTATTAGTACTGTGGCTGCTGAGTCTCATCTCATCAGTAAGAATGCTATAGTATCAGTATGCGTTTTTTCCCACTCAGACAATATAGAAGCTGCTAAGCAAACAATTATCTTAACTGCAAATTCCAGTAAAATGTGTGGCTGGTTTACATAGAAATGGGTAGTTTCATGCACTGGAAAGCAGCATGTTTTGGGAAAGAGCTGTTATACAAAAAAAAGATGCTGCTCAGAGATTGTGACTCTTCTGCAAAGGACATGAGGAAGAGGAGGAGAAGAATAGGTCTAATGGAGTTTCTTGATGACTTCTATTGTGGTCTCCTGTGGTGGATTACTTTGTATTCTGTTGAAATGCTAGAGACTTGTTCCGATACCCAGTGAAGGAATTCAGCTGCCGTCCATCTGACTGCAGTGAGAACACGGAGCATAAGACCCGCAAAGACACCTTTACAAACATTTTGACAGATTTTATTCTTATTTATGTTTTCCCAGGGCAAACAATATATTTATTTCATATATTTATTTATTTTCAGAATATATTTTTACAGTTATGAAAAAATAAAAAGACTATCCAGAACAAGCGATCGTTTTTTGTGTTTTTTAAAATGCTGTTTTGTGTCCCCTGAGGATAATTGAAAGTGCCTTTGTAGTGTGTTATTCCTGAGTTGGCATTCGCTTAATGAACCCGGGAAATGACTTTGCAACTATATGATTTAACCAGCAAATTAAGTAAGCTGAGTTTGTGGTTAATTTGAAACTGTCCAATCAGCATTCCACTGTTCTTGTTGTTGTCCTCTCAAGATATCTTACACATCTTTTTATCCGATTTAGTTCAAATAATTCCATCCATTTTTGTAACTGCTTATTCCCTAATGGGTTCGTGGGAAGACTGGAGCATAACTCAGCTATCAATGGGCAAGAGATGCGGTACACCCTGGACGGTCCGCCAGTCCATCGCAGGGCCACACAGAGACACACAAGGACAAACAACCGCGCACACTCACCCTCACTCCTAAGGGCAATTTGGAATGTTCAATCAACCTAACATGCAGGTTTTTGGACTGTGGGAGCCGGAAAACCTGGAGAAAACCGGAGAACATGCAAACTCCACAGCGAACGGTCGGGGGACTCAAACCCAGAACTCTCTTGCTGAGGGGATGGTGCTAACCACCACACCACTATTTTAGTCTTTTCTGGCTTGAAACTACTGGAGATACAGTTCCAGAAAAACAACCTTCCTTCAACTTAAAGCCCAGTAATTAAAAAAAAAAACATTTCTATGACAATGTTTTTTCCTTTGAAAGAAGAGGGGTATCTTATCCGTGAATGAACATGGTTTCCTAAAAATTGTCAAAATGATTGACCTCATTTATTTGTTGCACATACACAATGCCAGTTGTTATTTTTCAGTATAACTGATTTTTCAATATCAGTTATTAAGAAGCAATCTTCTCCAAAATTGTTTCACACCATCAATTTTTCTAAAGCTGTAATAACACATTATCTGTGTCTTATTTTTGAGAAATTGAAGCATTTTGAGGATAAGAACATTGGTTTTCTTAAAGAGAAACTTGATTTCAACTAAGACCTTGCAATAACTGAATAGATGAAGCCACAAAACAATCAATTATGGCAATGTTTGCCACACTGATTTCCTTAAACAGATGCAGTTTATGTCTCATAACATAGCATTTGTAGTCTCATTAAACTATGGAGGACGAGTGTTAAGAAGAGTTAATGTATTGACTCCCATGCTGGAGAGGCCGGTATGAGAATAACCCATGGCCCAATCTGTTTTTCTACTTTGTGCACACACAAAAGTTTTGGGTTAGTGGTTAAGGATACTGTAAATGGTTAGGTGTTTGAAATAAAGAGTAATATGTATTGTTAATGATTACTTTATTCTTCATGTGTTCTCTGTCCTCATTAAGTCGCCGTCGGAAAGAAAACACCGGGCTCAGGTTTTGTCACCATCTCATGGTTTCTAGACACACACTGTGACACAATGTTTTGAACATGTGAAAAAATGTGCTCAAGATATGTTTTTATGATGAAGCACCCCAAAAGATAGAGAACGAGTGACGGGATTAATGGGATGGGTGGAGGAGACAAATGACATTAAATCATCTGTTAGAAGAGCCTTGTTTCCTCCAACAGACACTGCAATTAGACAAGTGACTGGCAGATCCAGAGCTCTGCTGCTCTCTTTCATCCTTCCCTTCATGTCTGACCTCCTATGTTGTGTGAGTCATCCCCTGGTCTAATACTACCTGAGACTAATGTGCGCAGATGTCACAGGTGTGAGAGAGTGCAGGGGTTAGAACGCCGTGTGGAAAAGATCATGCTGGTAGCTTAATGCAACCAGCTCCTTTGTCTGGGCTTCCAGCAGGGAGAACGATTCAGCCCAAACATGCAGCATGTAACGTATTTGTAATAATCCTGAAGATATTTTAAAAAGTATGTTCATAATTTTTTTTTTGAGCAACAGTGAATTTGATATGTTGCCTTTTTAAAAATACTTTGGGCTGATTTGTTCTTAGGCTTGAAAAAATACAGGACCCAACAAAACATTGTACATGTCTCTTGGTGTTCCACAGCTTGTCATTTCACATACTCTCAAACATTTTATCCACTCTGAATTTCCTCTTCTCCATCTAGACTTTTCAGTTGACTGTTGTCAGTACATAACACCAGATCCAGACCTTGAAATCATATGATCATAGTTGAAAAAGCAAAACTGAAAATCACACATCTTCGGTGGCCATTTGAACACCATCTGCTGAACAGATGGTGCTTATTATTCTGTATGTAAGAACTAGCTCCTGTGGCTCTAGCCAGTGGCTCTTTAAAAGCCAGGACAATATCATTGCTGGCGTTGATGCTTCCGGCCCTTTAGCTTCATTGTTTTTAACCTATAATTTTTAAAGTAATCATGAAATTTCTACCATGCAAATATCTGATGTAGCTTCCGGTGATTAGCAACAAATAAATTTGCTTGTATCAGTTTCCATTTCCGCTGAAGAAAATAATATTCTGTTGCTTTGAGCCATATCTAGAAATGAATCAGAAAAAAATTCAATTATATCAGACATTGTTGATCAAAATGTTAAATATTGCTGATGATGCCATTTTGTGTTTTTGCTTGCTCCAAAAATAAGCAATATTCCGTTTATCCATATTTGAAAAACATGATAGTTGCACAATCCATTACATTATGGGTTACTGACACATCCCTTCATATGTTTATGTAAACCGCCCCATGTAGAACACATACATACATTCTAATTAATTCTAAAGTGACCTACAGGTAGATGGAGTTAGCACCCCCAAACTTTGATCAAATCTAAGTTGTAAATACAGTTCCTCCAGCCACCACACACACAAACCTCCAACTCCATCTTAAACATAAATTTGAAGATTGAGAGACCTATTAAAGAGTCTCATAGGATCATGTACTGGGGATGTAAGAAGTTAACATACATTACCGGCTGTATTGTTAAAATATCTGCTGCATCTGTGTACAAAGGAATGAAGAAATAAAAAAATAAAAGAAAGAATGTTGATTCATTTTCACGTTGCTCTTTGATGACATCAGGCTTATTCGTGCAAGGGCAGTTGTTTCTAATCATTTATGAGGACACAGGTTCATCGAATGTGCTGAAAGTGGCTGAAATTGCATTGCATTGTATCATTAAGTTACGCAGGCATAGTAACTTTGAGAATTATATTAGCGCACCTTAAGTCCTTTTCGCACGGGACTAGAATTACCTGAAGATGAAGTGCGATTTGGGGATTTGTGGTAACCTTTAATCTACTCGACACAGACTAAGTGCTCTTATAGGATCTGTAGGGTTATCTGAGTACTCAATGCTTGAACCCCCCCGCCCCCCTATTGTGACACCCAAAGGACCCCTGTGTACTTGGGATGAGAACAGAAAGGCTCAACAAAGCCTGACCTAACTGAGGGGAGCTCTGTCTGACTGTCAGCCGTCAACATCTGACCAGTGTTGATGAGACCCCCTGAAAGCATGGACCTCTGAGATGTGTGCATACAGCTGCATTTCAAATGAAGGAGACATTGTCATGTATGGGTCAGGCCCAGCATACAGGCTCATAAGGTTGGCAACATGTTTGCAGATAAGATTACAGAACGCTTCGGTTCATATTGGCCCAGTTGCACAGGAAGGAACATGGTTACATTGTGTCTGGTTAAGGGATGTTTCAGTGTGTATAATCCTCTCATAGGGGTATACAGTGTAGGATGAGAGGGATCATCAGACAAACGGTGCCTGAGTACCAGCATGTGGACACCGACTGAGAGCGTATGTCAGACACTTATCTTAAACCAGGACAGGCTGAGGTATAAGCTGAAAGTTGGTAAGAAACAGGTGGGTTTTTGAAGGGAAATAATTTAAAAAAAAGTGTATGTGGGCCCGTCAGGTTACAACCTTCTTTGAAGTTACAGTGTGTGTGTTTGTTCGGAAAGAGGAGACATGTTTATGTGAGTCAAAGTGACTGCATATATTCATGTCAGCACAACGTCTATGTGTGTGTGCGTGTGTGTGATCTGTGAATCTGTGTGAAGGTGAGCCAGGGGTTCTCCTGACTAGAGGGCTGTCTGACTGATGTGTGAAGGCCTGTGGGTGTGTTTGTGTGTAGTGCCATACCTCTACTCTCTCTCTTCTCTCTGTCTGTCCTCTGCGGGGTTTTCCATTGACTTGTTAGTTCGCTGGATCCAGCAGGTATTGGTCCATGTGGGGATGAGCTTCAGTAGATGCAGAAAAAACAAAACGTAAAGGAATTCTCACAATCATGTTTCCTCTTCCTTAAAACTTCACGGCACGTCTCCTCCTGAAGCAGTGAAAAATAAGCTATTTTACATCAATCTATTAAACATTTTAAAATGGTCACATTTAGCTGAAAACAATTAGAATATCCATTAAAGACATTCCACAAAAGACTTCACTGAAATGACAAATTCATGTTATAAAAAAGGGAAGAAAAGTGAGCAGCTTTGGGACTTTTTTCAGACCATGTGCCCTCTTGATTTTGTACATCTCAAAGTGAGTGTGCTGGTGAGACCAACAGTCCATACAGGCGTTGATCCCTCAGCAGTCAACACGCTCTGAGGGCGTACACACGCAGTTTGTCATCGCCTCTCTGGGTGTGAGATTAATGGTTCAGTGTATGATTCAGCTGTGGTGAATTCAGACATAAAAATACAAAAGAAAAAAGTGACACATCCCTCTAAAATTCATAGACGTATTTAGCAACCATAAACTCCTGCAGTTCGTGACCAACAAACTCTTGAACTCTGACAAGACCACTTCAGGTCAGCTTTGTTAATTTAGCACCGAATCACAACAAATCTCTATGCACTTCAACAATATAGTGAATTAGTAATTTGCTAATCTAAAGCAACTTAAAACTAGAGTGAAACATTAACTTGTGAAATGAAGTCACAAGGGGATGGACCGATGTTGCTCGACAGAGGCAAACCTGATCTAATGGAGATTACTGAATATCGTGTCACTATATAATGAGGTGAAAGCACACAATGCTGGAGGAG